CCTTTGCACTTATCTCCAGATTGTTTTAAACTTTACAACAATGGACCTCTATAAGAGCAGCCTCTGCTGGTATGACTACATTGAAGTAAGAGATGGCTACTGGAGAAAATCACCTCTGCTTGGTATGAACCTATCTACTGTGGTCAGTTTTGAAAAGTGGAATGTAGAAATAACAACATCAAATGGAAATGGAGTTAACCTTTTTAGTCAGGCAAGGGTGTCTGTAGGGAGGGGGTAAAAAAATATGTAGGGAGGGGGTAAAAAAATCAAGAAGGAACATGGGTAATAGTAATTTAGCTTAAGCATACTAGGTTAGTGTCTGTCACTCCCACATCTGCATTATTTCTGCTTCACAAAAGATGTTTTTTTTAAATAAATGAAACTATTTCTTCTCCAATGTTTGTTCCATATTAAATTTTATTTTATTTTCATATACATCTATTATTGCCTATTATTGTCAAATGTGACCCCCTACTCTACCCCAGCAAACCCATGTCTGTACCAAAGTAAAACGAGTGGCAGAGTGAAAACTGGAAGAGCAACTAAATCAGGGATCAGCAAGCTGTCTGTATGCATCCTTTATTATAACCTCCTGAAATATCCTTGAAGTACCCCTAAGTGGGTGACACAATGCCATTTTCCACTAGGGAATTAAAGAAATTTACAATTCTAAGCCAGACTTAAAAGATCCTCCAAACAAAAAATAATTTAAAAAAATATATAAGGATCTGTCTTCAAGAACAGTAGTTTGCATCTCAGACTGCTTATATCATATTGCAGGGCATCATCTTAAGAGATGCCTTAAAATGCATTTTCTCACTTTTTACATTTTTTTTTTTTAGGCAGATTCTGCGGAGATAAACTCTCAAACATCCTCTCATCTAATGATAGCAGAATGTGGATTGAGTTCCGTAGCAGCAGCAACTGGGTAGGAAAAGGTTTTGCAGCCATTTATGAAGGTGAGTCCTTAGGAAAATCAACTGGTTTAAACTTAAGTTAAAATATATCTGTGGCCCAAATTCAGCAGGACATGCTTTTTGGCATAAAATGTGAGTTTCAAGAACAGAAGGCAAATATCAAAATACTAAACCATTGCTCTTGAAGTGAACACTTGCTAAAATTCTTCCCTCAACTGCTTTTACAGTTCCAAGAGTAAAAATATAGGAAAGATTTGAGCAATTACTTAGAATACTTCTAGAATATCTAGCAGCCTTCCCCACTGGCCAAATTGGCAGAGACTTTTGGAATTAGTCCCAATGCATCTGTAATGGATCAAACCAGAGAAAACTGCCTTATGTGTTCAAGTAAGGATGGTGGGTAGGTGTGAGTATAGATGTGGAGCCCACCCAGATCAATAGGATTTTCTTACATTCTGCCCCTGAATAATTATCAGGTGTCTTTCACATAGAATACTTGAGCGATAACAGTTATTGTCTTACACAACTTTCATTTATCTTAAAGTCCTTTTTGTGTTCTAATCTCTCAGTAGGTCTGGACATTTCTGAGTAGTAATAAACTTGCAAACTGTGGCAGCATACCAGGTTCTGCATGCTTAGAGCTTCCTTTCTGATGAGAAGGGAATTTTCCATGTGCTGCAGATTTCCCATTGTGCATGCCAAGCATTTCCCTTTCACAGGAGACAAAGGGAAACCCCTACATTAACAGGTGTTGGCGCAGACACTGAAGCTTCTGGGTCATATCCTATGGCTCCCATCCAGTCTGCAATTTACACATATTGTAGGTTGATTGCACTGCATACAGTGCAGTTTTAAAACTATAAATGTTATCAGGAACAGTTGATGAAGGATTCATATATTTGTCATTTAAATGGGTCCTCCAGGCACAAGTGACTGCTCATTTTAGAAAACAGTGAAAACGTAAACATTGGAAGTATGCTTAAATTTCTTCTTTTGTATTCTTTAGCAATTTGTGGAGGTGAGATACATAAAAATGAAGGCCAGATCCAGTCTCCTAATTATCCTGATGACTACAGACCAATGAAAGAATGTGTATGGAAAATAACAGTGTCAGAGAATTACAATGTCGGATTAACCTTTCAGGCATTTGAGGTAAAGCCTTTTAACTGATCTGAGCAAACCATCTTGTGGCTAAATGACAGTGACATTTCAGGGAATCCTCATTAAGCCAATATAGACACAAAGCATTCTCTGTATAACATAACACCATCCAGTAGTTCCTATTTCCTTTCACTGAGAGTTTTTTCATTGCAGAAATTTCAAAAGATGAAAGGGTTTTATCTTATCTGCACTATTTGAACTGGAATATTTTAAAAACTGACAATAGTTCTTTTAACAAATAACTAATCCTGTTCTACCAGGCTATTTAAGGAATAGGACTTTTACTTCTTTCTAAAATCTCTTTGTTCTCATTTATCTCTTCACACAACTACTTCATATTGATATTTATCAGGGATCAAGATTGTAATGAATTTTATAATAACCGCTAATTTTTATTTTGATACTTCTACAATGTAATTCTGTCATATTTGCTGCTATATTTATTATATACTATTCAATGAGCCTGTACCTCTAACGTGTTTTGAATCCTGTTATGATCTGGGCTAGATCATTGTTCAAACCTCCCTACTGTCACAGGGATTTAAAAATAGGTAGGTAGGTAGATAAATAGAATTAAATAAATGAAACGTAGTAAAAAAAGCTTTATAAAGTTTTTATATAGGGACTTCTGATTTTTATTATAGGTTTGCTTTGTCTCCTTTTCATTAGCTGTTAAAAATAATGGGACTTCAAAGCTGCAATCCTGCACATAGTCAACAAACTCAGGTTGCAGGATTGTATTCTAAAGAAATGTCAGAAGATTAGAGAGCCATCTTCATGAAACTCATCTTGTCTAAGAACTGAGGGAAAAGCTGTAACTTCCTCAGTTACAAGATAGCCCTTAAACAGCAGAGTTATAGAATGGAAGCCTTGCGGGTATTAGCTCAGCTGCCAGTATCTCTCTTGAAAGATACTAGTTTCCCTGTTGCCTGAAGATATGAAAGAAATATGGCCTCCAAATTAGACATTGCTAGTCACAATGGGGCACTGACCTGAATCAGTGTGGGGACATTAAATGTTTACTGTGGCTTTGTTCAGGTCTAAGACAAAGAATTATTCCAACATGACCTGTTGGAATGTTTGTTTGTTTTTTTGCTCAATAAACTACATTATCTAAGATAGCAGGAGTACCTGTATCATTTGCAAATTAAACATGTCTGCATTCCTTCATTAATTGTTGAATTTCCAACCTTCATAACTTTTTCTGCTTCTGATTTTGCATCTATCTTAAGTTCAGCTTGATACTGATTTGGCCACATGATGGCAAATGCATATCTCTTGGTGCCAACATAATTTAAATTAATTCCAATTTAATTTTACTTGTCAAAAAAGCTCTGCTCAGAATTTAAATAACTTTTCCCAGGAAAACAGGATATTATACATCCTTGAAATTTATTCTTAATGAGGTGTAAAGAAATTTATATAATTAGACAGCAAATATTTTAATACAAGAAACTAAGTAATGCAGCTAATCTGAAAAATTGTTAGCAGAAATATACATATTATAATTTTGATCAAGTATCATTTTATATTTGCAGATTGAGAGACATGATAATTGTGCCTATGATTATTTAGAAGTCCGAGATGGAATGAGTGAAAGCAGCCCTTTGATTGGCCATTTTTGTGGCTATGATAAACCTGAAGATATAAGATCTACCTCAAATACCTTGTGGATGAAGTTCGTTTCTGATGGAACAGTCAATAAAGCAGGATTTGCTGCTAATTTTTTTAAAGGTAACAGTTTGGGCAATTAGTGGAGTAGTTGCATTTAATGATAAAATTCAGGGGAAAATAATGTAGAGACTTTTCTTAATTTAAAATTCACATTTTAAGCAGACATTTTTTCTGCTTCTGCCTCTACTCCCATAGCCTTCACTGCTGAGACAGTATGATTGAACGTGATCCATGAGCTTCTAGGCTTCTTTCTAACCTTTCACTTATTCTCACTATGAAGCAGTTTCCTAAGCCAGAAGATCCTAAAGTTATTTGAATGCGTTTGTAGGAGAACTTTATCTCACTAATTTTACTAAGAGTTTATTTTAAACTGGAGACCACAACACAATTCCGTTGAAGCACAGATTGTTCATTATATTGGAGGTAGCCAAAAAAGCAAACCTAAAGGAGTGGAGATGGAACCTCTCCATATAGAGGTATACAAATTAGAATATACAACTGAGAGATACAGTACAAGAATCAGTTGAATATAATTGGATATAGCAGCATTTAATTAATTGATTTGTATAGCTGCTGAACTCAACTTTACTTTATATCATCAGTAAACAGCAGAAAGTCAGTTAAAACCCATAATCAAAGTATAAAAATATAAACCAAAACAATATGCAAATACATAAGTGCCAGGAAAAAATCCTCATCCAATGGGTCATACTACTCCCAGACCCATTGTCTAAGGTCTTTATGCCTTTAATGTTATCAACAAGCATGACCAATGTCGTATCCATACTGTGCCCAGGTCTGAAACCTGACTGAAAGAGATCCAGGTAATCCCTTTCATTTCAATCCATTCATCACCTTATCAATAATCTGCCCTGCCCTGCCCTGCCCTGCCCTTCCTCCTTTACCACTGCCTAACCACTGCCTCCTTAACCACATGTAGGATTATTCCTCCCCTCAAGGAAGAATTCATCACTGCTTGGACCCAACCACATGCCATCTCTAGGGAGGTCTTAATCAACAAGGAGGAGCATCAGTGTAAAATACAGGCAGATGCACTTACAGCTCCAATGACCATGTCCACTTCCTCAATGCCAAACAGGAAAAAAACTCTTACCAGATAACCATATCAGCTCTTGATTCAGCCAACTCCAGAGAACCTGCACAAGGAGTCCAACTCAAGTGAATGAATCCAAGAGATTTTAATTGACAGATGCTATGAAAAATCCTCTCCCAAGCTGGTCCTCGTCAGCAAGGACAGAGTCATTTTAAATAGGGCTATTGGATGGCAATCCACAGCCACAAGAAGAGCAACAAAATAACTCCTTTTTGCTGCTGTTATCACCACTGGGTAATGCTTAACAAACACTCTTACCCAATCAGATTCGCTCTTCATTTTCCTCCAGTGTGCTCTAGGCATCTTCTGCTATTCTATCTCAAAGAATATTCTGAAAAGCAGGGCCTCTCCAGGATGCTCAGATAGAGAGGCGCAATTCTGTGTAAGGTCATCACCACCCTCTAATTTCAAGCCAATAACTAAAGTCTCAACTGTGCACCAGATTCTCAGGAATTCCACCAAGCACCCTCTGAAACCCAACTGCATCCATCAAACACCTGAGGCAGATGAATAAATCCTCCCTCCCTGCAGTGGAGCAGATAGGGAGAACTCCAAAGCAATCAAAGAGTGATCTTACGTGTTAGTGGAATCAGCTATGGGGTGGATCCTTTGAGATAATGGGGAAGGACTGAAAATACAGAATTTCATTGAATGAACAAAGAGAGCATTCTAGGAACATAATTACTTTCTAGAAAGAAACTGCTCTTGTTTCTCAAAGTTCATGCTCACCTCCTAGTATCTTCTCCTAGTTTATCAGTATTCCTTGGCCCTCTATATGTTTTATGGCTGAACTGACAAAGTTTATTGTTTTCTCATGGCCCTGATTAAGTAATTAGGGGAAGGGAAGTTTTGCTTTATTTTAGTCCTCCTAACCAGTCCCATATTTCTCCTACACATTATCTACCTTAATTTTGAATACTGAAATTACTAAAGAAAATTATTTCAGTCTCAGCTGTATCCCTGGCAGATCAATGTAAACAACAGAAGCAGAGAACAACAAGTCTCAAGGTAACAGTGGGAGAGTGTAAATTGGTTTTTCAAACTCTACATGAATACTTGCTACATTTAAATCTCTAATGTTATTACAGGAAACATATTACCAATTTTGTATGAATTCTGTTGGATGCTATTTTATTTATTTCTATTGGATAATATTTATGTAATAACTATACATTTCCAGTCTATTACAGTCTGGGCCAATGATGCCAAGGTTGCACTCACTTCTATATCAATATTCCTTAAGATTAAAATCTTGGGGCAATTCTGCCATTTTTAAAGCTGAAGGCTAATACTGGACATGCTTTTATGATGGTAGCTATTATTCCGTGTACAGCTAAGATCTTCATTTAGAAATTTAATGCTAAGTTTTGTTTTACTGTTTAATGCCAACTCATATGAGCTTGTTGTGTTTTTATTACAGCCTTATTTTATAGGCACTATAATTTTAATTGCACATACATTTAAAGGTTCTTTTGATATACTATGGACCCTGGCCAAATAAACTTATAACTCATTCTGATTCTCAAATTTGATACAAACTCTTCACATATGGCAGTATTTCAAAAATATTAACAAACCCTGGAAGTATAAATATATATGAAACTGGCATGCCTTAACTAATGTGTTCCTCAAGCAAAGACTTTGATCAGCAAAATGGGAAGGAAAGCCATTTTTGCATCTGTTGTTAACTATTACCTTGCATATCAGTGTTTTAGCTAGCCAGCTATTAAAACATAGGGAAAGAAACAAGTATTTGCTTTTGAAATGTTTTTCATAGGATTGTTTCAGTTATGCATATTATGTCACATATTTTAAGTAGCTAATTTAAACAACCGTTTTGCTAACAACAGTAAGACAGATGATACTAGTGTTTATACTAGTATAAACATTAATTGAATTGCACAACTGCTTGTGGAGTTGCTACTGTATCCTGTGCACACTCTCTGTCTTTCTCTTAAATACATCTTGTTTTCTTTAGTATTAATAAAATAAAATTGTGACATATGAGGATTCAGTTAAACCTGAGTTCCTTCTGGTAGATGGGTGGCCATATAAGTTTGTTAAATAAAAAATAAATCATAACTTCTGCATTAGAGTGTAATGCTTGTATATGAAACCTATGTCCCACAGTATTGCTATAAAATAGAATTGTTCCCTGATTTCCTCCTCCCCCTCTCCTTGTGCACAAGGGAATATATAGGCTGTGTGATAATAAATCAGATACATAAGTGCCCAGTACATATAGCTGGTGCATTTTGCCCTCTCTGTGAGCCAGATATTGCAAGCTCATTTCTTGCTTTCCTCAGTCATAAGAACTAGAAACAGCTAAGCAGGGACATGAAAAGCACACTGAAGTCTCTGGTTCACTATAACCGCCTGACGTTATCTGTTGTTCCTTCATCTGTACTCTGTAACTGAAGGAGGACTTAGTTATGACTTCTGACAATCTCGCTACATATGCCTATACAGGAAGCATCAAATTCTTGGAATTTTAGAGAGTAAGGAAGATGACCTTGATGGAAATATGTGAGAACCATTACTGAGGAAAAGGGGATGAAATGTTTTTTAAGTCTAGAGCAGTGAGATAAAGCAGCTCAGGCAGACGCCTCCCTGTTTCACTGGAGTTTAAGAAGGGGGAGGAGATATAACACAATCAGACTTGCAAGATTCTGTTAATATAGCCAATCTCAATAAAAGTAGTTTCAGCCTTCCTGTGAAGTTGATTTCCTGATCTGGTCTACCTACCAGGGCTGATAGAATATAAGGCCAGCGCTTAAAGGGATATACCTGTCTTCTCAATTATTAGATGTATCCTACTTTGCCAAAATGGTTATATCAGCCACAGTCTGAATTATAAATACAAGTTTGTTGTTACTATAATACAGTGGAAAAACAGAGGTAAGTTTATGTTTAAGTGCAATGCTATTTTTTTACTTCTCAGAGGAAGATGAATGTGCCAAACTGGACAATGGTGGATGTGAACAACGATGTGTGAATACTCTGGGCAGTTATCAGTGTGCTTGTGATCCAGGTTATGAGCTTGGGCCTGATAAGAAGAGTTGCGAAGGTAATTCAGGGTACCAATTTCCAATATTCCAGAGACTATTTAGCTTTATTACATGACATGCTTATATGGCAAGTATCAGATCTGCATTAAGCCTAATTTTACATTCTTGCCAAGGCTGGCTTTGTATATATATTTATAAACCTTACACCAGGTACGTACTTCTCAAAATGCTGAGCAGACAGTAGATTCCACGCGTAGTGGGTTAATGAAAGTCTACTGTAGTGGTTCGTGCCAGCCAGCTGGTCATTTTCAGTGTCAGTATGTCTCATTCTTAGTGAGTTAACATGAATTTCATTAAATCATGGAAAATATTTAACTATTAAAAGCATCTCTAGATGTAGCATTTTATTTAAAATTTTGAGAACAGGAAAGAGATAAAACTCACCATGCTGCTACTCTGTTAGGGCTTTTTACTATAACCACTCTATAAAATCACTTGGATTTTTTCTAAGAACAAGGTAAGATCAGGTCTCAAATTAGTGCAAATATGCTCATTTTCCTCTGCTTCCATTCCACTTTTCTCTGTAGACAAAGCAGCAAGCAAGGTCCCTGGGCCACAAAGGACTGTTAAATGAACATGTGTCAGCTGCCTACTATTACTGAGTGAACCACCAGGTGTCCATTAACTCAGAAAGATGGGAGGAAAAATCTTAGAGTTAAAAGTCTAAAATGTGGACCTACATAAAGGTTTTGATTTCTTTCCTCTGCAGAGGGCAAATTATCTTTGTATCGGTGGCTTCATTCTTGCTTGCAATAATTGCAATAAAGAAATGAATTAGCCAGTTTATGTCCGGGACTCTTCTGCTGAGTGAGCCTATTCCTGAATAAGGAGTTAACTGCCTGGAAAGCTACAATTTATGGCTGACCTTTGGTGTGAATGAGTGAGCCCTGTTAGTAGAAAAGGGCAAAAAACCAATTTTTTGTTTTATTACAAAACAATAAATGCTCCTTTAAAAAGTTTCTTGTATGAACAAATATAATATTTTTATATGGATAGTTTTACCTCTAAAGCTGTACTTCTTCATTTGTGAAATCACTAGTATCTGCATAGGAACTTATCAGAAGAAAAAGGTTCACGTGTATCCTACATCTAAATCAGTGTTGTCCAAACTTGGCCACTTTAAGATGAGTGGACTTCAACTCCCAGCATGGCTGGCTGGGGAATTCTGGGAGTTGAAGTCCACTCATCTTAAAGTGGCCAAGTTTGGACAACACTGATCTAAATGTTTGTTGCATAATGTCTGCTTCCAGGTCTCAGTGCTATCATCTTTTCTTATTGCATTAGTATAGTAAGTAAGCGTTAGTTAATTGATTAGTAGATTATGTGCCATCAAGACATTCTCAACTCCTAGCAGCTACATAGATAGATTTTCTCCATGATGATCTATCCCTAACTGGCTTGTAAGCTCTTCCAAAAGTGCATTCACTGCCACTGTAACTGTGTCCATCCACCTTGCTGCTGGTCATCTTCTTCTCTTTCCTTCCACCTTTCTCAGTGTTACAGCCTTTTTTAGGGAGCTGGGTCTTCATATAACTTGTGCAAAATGAGATAATTTCAGCCTGGTCATTTGTGCCTCGAGTGAGAACTCTGGGTTGATTTGTTCGATGATCTGGGTTTTTTTTGTTCTCTTCCAAGTGTCTAAGATTAACATTTAGCTCTAAAATTGTGGTCAGTAGGCTTCATAGAATTCATATCTTAGTTAAAGGAATTAAATTGATATAATTCCGCATGCATCACTTAATAGATTTATGAATTTGGCCTGAGTTTGACAGCCTTTTGATGGAGTGGGCATTTTTTTTTTTTTTTTTGGAAAGAGGAAAATAGCTGAAAACTCTCAAACTCACCAAATTCCAAAAGATTTCAATTATGTCTCCACAAAATTTTGCAGCTATTTATTTATTTATTGGCGGGGGTGGAATTCTGTGGGCATTATTCCACTGTACAGTAGTGGTCACAGGCATTTCATAAGCATTGTGGTGTCCATAAACTCCTCTGCCTGAATTGGATCATGCAGTGACAGAGAACAGACTTCACGTATTTTCACTAGGATAAATATTCTAATACATCCTGTTTGGCATCCTGGTCCCAAACCCACCATGAATACTATTTTGGCATATTTTCTATTCTGTCTTTCAGGAATCTACAGTTTGGATTGATACAAAGTGGAATGTATGAGTAAAGAAAAGAGGGAACTGTAGGATTTCTGAAGGCCATAAGATATACATAACTGCTTTTTTAAAAAAAGAAAAAACAATGTTTATGCATGCATCTACCTTGCTCTTCAGCCTCAGCCTCCTTATATGTAGTCCATATAAGCCAATAGGCAACATGAATTGGCCTAATTTTGGATTCATCTGTTTTGATTCTTTTTTTAAAAAAATAGATTACTTAATTAGTGTACTACTTCTTACATATACAAAATATGGCTTTATGGACCTGTAACTTTATGAATTTGTTCTTTCATTTTTATTTCAGCTGCCTGTGGGGGACTTCTGACAAAGCTTAATGGGACCCTAACAACACCAGGGTGGCCCAAAGAATATCCTCCTAATAAAAACTGCGTGTGGCAACTTGTTGCTCCCACCCAATATAGAATCTCAGTGAAGTTTGAGTTCTTTGAACTGGAAGGGAATGAAGTAAGTTAATGACAGCCAAAGCTGATACTTGGTTATACAATCAATAGTAGCAGAATACAAAATAGATCCTATCAATGAAAAATATCTATCATAATATTTTTCTTATTGGTTCTTATTCCTATTTCTTGGAGCTGTTTCCTGGATTTATTCAGAACATATGCAAAAATAAATGAACTAAAAATTTACAAACCTACCATATTAAGCATGTTGGTCCCATTATTTCAAAATATGTGCATGCTAAAATAATCCACTTGAAATCAAGCACATGAATGAAATCATGACCACATTTTTAAAATCCACTTTGAGACTGGAGGTTTTTGGATGTATATATATGTATGAATTCCCATAATTAAAAACACTCGTCAACACAGTATCAAAATTCTAGGTCCTGTAATATTTTAGAAGGTCAAGGATTAGAATTCCTAAGGGCCAGGGAAGACTAAGGTGACCAAATGTTAGGTATTTTCATAGAGAATATCATTCTTCTAGTACCACTAGAAGATTTTGGTTAACAAATTAATAAGGGTGTTCCAACTCATTTTAATACCAGTTTACACACACAAGACAGAGTCATGATTCAGGTAACCAAAACAGAAATGTAGACTTTTAAATTAAACCAAACATCAGGAAGTACCAGGGAAGGCAATTCAAAATGAAAAATATAGGTGTGACAATACTCTTTGCATTAGCCACTATTATTAATAGCAAAGCATTTTCTATCATAATACAGCTGAGCTAATCTAAGATCCTGGGGTCACTAGGGTTCCAAGTCTTAACTCAGACTAAGAAACATGACATGTTTTCTAAAAGAATTTAAATGCTGCCCTCTTCCCCACAGTCACTCAAGGAAAAAAAAACCTATTCAAAGGCTTTTGTATATTTGGTCAATTTACATTATATGTGGAAATATGGTGTAAAGACTAATGTAAGCAATAGAATAAAGAAAAAGAGATAAACCACATTATCTCTTATGCTGGAAAGTATAAATTGTAAGATAAATATATCTCTGTTGCATTAGGATTAATACTGGCATTTCATTTTTTAGGTGTGCAAATATGATTATGTGGAAATCCGTAGCGGCCTTTCTACTGATTCCAAACCACATGGCAAATTTTGTGGTACAGAAGTGCCTGAAGTTATCACATCCCAGTATAACAGCATGAGAATTGAGTTCAGATCAGACAACACAGTTTCAAAAAAAGGTTTCAAAGCTCACTTCTTCTCAGGTATTAAAACAAATACAATAGGTGTGATCTGTATGAATGGGTTTTTGCAAATACAACAAAGAGTTTCCAGTATCCTTTTTTCCAGGATAAGATTTCTTTCTGCTTTTCACTTTTTGATTCTAATGAAGATGAATGGCCCTTCTCTTAATGTGTTCAGTTTCAATTTTCCACTCAATTAAATAAGTTAATATTAATTTTAACACTTAGACTGTAATAATCATGACAAGGAACTATATCACTATTCAGATTCCATTATTCATTTATCTTCCTAGTTATATTGGTTTTCCTTTGTTTGCTATAATTTTCTCTGTGTTTGGATTTTTTTCTACTTCTTAACAAATAACATGTTTCCCCACAATATAAAAATGTGTAGATAGGTTAGAAACTCCAGCAAATGTTTAGCATGAAAATTCAGAGAAAGAGAGCAGATTACAATACTTCCTTTTTTACCTCTGATAATTTATAATATTATAGCACAATCCTATATAATCCCTATAATTTGGGAATAAATATTGTTGAATTCAGTTGAAATATATTTTGAGTATCCCTATGTAAGATTGCAGACTAAATTCTGTAAAAAATAAAAAAAAAATCATCTAGGGTGACATTTACTCAGGTTGCAATTTCTGGATGAGATTAACATGACTCATACAACATGTAGTATATCAACTTTTTAGGAATCCAAGCTCTCTGAAAAGCTAATAAGGGTTTGAGAGGCAAGTAAAAAAAAAAAGGGGGTAATATATATTTGCAGCTATGAGGCAGATTAGGACAGTTTTCCTGAATCTAATCCCTCCATATGTGTTGGACTATGATATCACTAGACTAACGGATCTGAGCTGCAAAAATCTGAATACTTCTAGATGAAAAAGAGTTTTCTGTGTCTTCTTGTTGCTATCTAGTTGTCATCTGCGTCTTTGCAGCCTAGAACTCATCACTCTAGAGATCAACTAGTTTGGCAAGCTTGGGTTGAGGCATGCCTCCAGTAGATTATCAGTCCCACTCACTATGATCGTGAAGCCATTGAAAGGCTTGCCTGACATCAATTTTGATTTTAGACTGAAATAAGATATAATTCCTGAATTGAAAAAATATTAAAGCCCTCCCCTGCCAGGGAAGAGAAGTGAATTCCTTTACCCAAGAGCTGTGACCCCAGGCCAATCCAATGACTGTTTTTAACTTCAATGTAATTCATGGAAGGTCTTGATCATAAGTGATCTGCATCATGTCTGTCATGACTGTGAGTGATAGCTTCAAGAGTAAAAAGTTCTGAGCAAGTAAAAATGATCAAGCACCAACAATGTATGACCACTGCCTCCATAACAAGATATACGAATGTAGAACACATGACTGATCACCAAGAACTTTCAAGCATTCTCTTGAGAGGAAAAAGAAATCATTTATGGATAGAATAATAATATTCTTTTAGCTTGTGTTCTGATTAATTTCCACATTGTATTATATTGCTTAAATCTTCAGTTTTCAAGTTTGAAAGTTAAAAGCACCTGTTGGTTCTATTTCATAATTGAAACTGGAAATATTTACTATATTTAGTGGAAATATTTATTATCCAAAGTGCCTGTATATTGGTGGAGAAGTGGGACTGGGGAAACATGAAGATAATCATGTTGCAGTAAAGAGATAAAATGTTACAATTATTCTATCCTTGAGAACATTGATGTTGGAACAGTGATTCAGCCACTCAATTTTGTTGATATCCTGGTAATTTTTTTCCCCACAGACAAGACAGCTGCCTTCAAGGAGAACATTTTTGCCTCTGAATCATGCAAAGACTTGATACAGTTTACCCCTTCAGGCCAAGTACATATAATTCATAGACTGGCCTTTGAGGATCTGAAAGATGACCATGTGTCTTGTGAATAAATCAGATCTATCATATTGTTGAAAATGGATCTTTCCTAGTTCTAAGAACTATTGACAGAAAAAAATACATGAAAGATCCATTTAAAACTGGGAGACTGATTTCCATCCCTGAGCATAACAGATGATGTGCATATACATTAGTCAGTAAAACATTTATTTCTTCAACTAATCTGTATTAATTTTCTCATAATTTTTTCAACCTGGAATGCACAGGATGGAAAGTCAACGTTGGGTTATATAAATCATAGATAAGAATTTTACTGCATCATTCATTAATAGTGCCAAACTATTGTATTCTGCCCCATCATAATTGGGGAAAGGACTACATTTTCATTCTAATAAAACAGAAACTCTTTAAATAAAACAACATAACTGATACACATAAACACACGCACAACATAAACACACACACAAATATACATACATACATACATACTGCTTCAAGCATTTTGGTGGATAAGAAGGCTTTGCCAATTTATAAAAAAAGATATTATATATTGATTTATTATTTATTATAAGTGATTTTGACCTTCCTTTCTATGCATTTGACCAGTTGTGAAACAATTGCAATCAAGTCAAGGAAAAGCTAACCAGTACAAATTCCCTGTTGGTCACTGTGCTTGGCTTTTTTTTTGTACTTTCAGGAGAAAGTTTCTCACAGGGACTTAAACCTAACTAAAACATTCAGTGCCTTTGCATGAAAAATAGAAGTAGATTCTCTCTTTAGAGTAAATATGTTGTATATTTTATAGATAAAGATGAATGTTCAAAGGACAATGGTGGCTGCCAGCATGAATGCATTAACACTTTTGGAAGCTACGTATGCCAATGTCGCAATGGATTTGTGCTTCATGAAAACAAACATGACTGCAAGGAAGGTAAATAGTAGTGTGGCAGAGAAGCTCACTCTGAAAGAAGTTGCTTGAGTGCATTTTATCTTCTGCATGTATCCTTATATTTGCACTTGTTCTAAGATTGTAAGATATTTCATGGAAAATGTTATGTAACAGGCTATATGAAATATTCAGATATTGTATGATCACTATACCTAAAATCAGTGGAAGTATCTTCTGTGCAGACACATGAATGTATGAATGAATAAATGGGAGGGTCATTAAAGCAGCCAGACCAAACTTTCAGGAGGACGAGGGTTCCGTACTTCTCAAAAAATTTGCACCACCCACAAAACTAATATTATCGATTATTGTAAATTATTCTTGGTAATGAGTTTGCAAATCGTAGATGCTGATAATTAAGACTGAATGATTACACCATATCAGCTTCTAGCAAATGCTTCCTTTTTTCATATAGCAGAGAATTAATATCTCGGTTGTCTAGCTGTGTGATATCCTGTATTTTCCCTCAGTTCATTGATGCTTTCTATCCATGATTAATGCAGCTGAATGTGAACAGAAAATCCACAGCCCAAATGGAATTATCACAAGCCCTAACTGGCCTGACAAGTACCCAAGCAGAAAGGAATGCACGTGGGAAATAAGTGCCACACCTGGTCACAGAGTCAAAATAGTAAGTAATAGTTAACAGCAGTAACACATTTATCAAAAGCTTAACTTGAATCAGCAATATTGTTAATGATATAAAAATTGAATCAACAGATGGTTAGAATATTGTTTTGTCAATATGTATGTTAGATAAGAGATCTCTAATATGTGTTGAGATTCATATTCATATTCCAAAAGCAACATGTGATTTGCACCTTGCATGGGTGCACATGTAACATCTGACAGGAGCACCTCACAAGCAGAGAGCAAATGTGCAGGCCAAGAAAAGATGCAATTACTTTGAAGTATTCTTGACCTATGCTAAGTGTATGTCCATGTGTGCTCTGAATCACTTTTTGCCCTTCAAATCCAGATCTATGCACAGTGCTTGGCCCCAATATAGTATTCATGGTGTGAGTATATTGGCAGATCTCCCATTTGGTACCCCCCAGGCTCCATCCCCACTTGAATTATTTATTTTCCAACTGGCTATGCAACCGTATTGTGAATGGAGAGGTCCCCCTCTGCAACATGCTGTCAGGATTCCAAATGTGCATGTGTAACTTTTGTGTAAAATACGCACAGGGAAGTTGAAATGGTATTTTGCACATTACAATATAATGCTTAGTAGTTATACGATTTTATTTAAAAATGTTTAAAAATATTATGGTTGGGAATTCAATAAAGGAATCTGTTTCTTACTTACTGCGTGGGGTTGAAATTACTTCATTTATTGACTGTGGCTAAAGATGAGGCCAAAAATAATCCTATCATATGGTAAGTATTGGACATGTGTAAAAGTTGACAACTTGTTTTGGGTTTGCATTAAAAGAACAGAATGACATTTTCTCTACCTTATTTAGAATTTTTATCACACAGCTTTGATTCATTTGGTTGGGAAGTTGTTTTTTTTTTTTTTCTCACTGTCATTTAGTGACACTTTACCTCACTTAATTTAAATAACTCAAGAATCAGCTACATTCTCAATGTATCAAAAATAGCATCATTTATTCTAAGCTCATTTTGCACTCTATCAACTTTTTGAGTTTGCAGTGTTGCTTATCCATCATCTGCCAGTCACCCAATCTTTGCCTCTGAAATTACCTGCTTGTGCTGCCTGAGGAAAAAGGCAAGATGCCCCATTCCCTTTGATTCCTCAGAAGATAGCAGTGGCTGAATCACATCTGCACAAGCAACTGGGTAGAGTCCTACACCTCATTTGAGGCTAGCAGGTTCTCTGACCTCTAAGAATGTTTTAAGGACATTTGCCTAGCATTATATTAATAGCAAAAAGAGAGGCAGCCGTGGAAAAGGCACCTTGCTTGAAGGCTCTTGTCCTCCTTTATAAGAATTCTGGAAGCTGAGTATGTGTTCTTGAGTTTTTTTAATAGTCTTGTAAAAGGGTCAGTTGATGACTGTGGTTTATAATAAATTGCCCTAGCAAAATTCAAGGGGATGAGGAGAGGCTTACCATCAGTTTGATGGTAAGGTGGATGGGCTCTGTTACAGCGGTGATGGGTGCACCATTGGAAGACCCAAAATGCCAAGTTGGGGACAGATCCTCCTGGAGAAAATCTATTCATGTGGGGCTAAGAGTCGACACTGACTTGATGGTACATAATCAATCAATCAAGTTTGAAAAGATGCCACACATACACAGTACACAAATACATATACACCCACATAAATATGTGTATTCTCAAATATGTGTGTGCAATTAAAAACTCATTTTCAACTAACAATTGTTCTGAAGGAAGAAACAAACCATTTTTTTTCCTTTTCAAATGCAGCTTGCTTCTTTACCAAAGTGAGCAGGTGGGATAAAAATTTCCAGGAATGGCATAGTATTCCAATTGTTTTTATACCACTCCTTTAGACAGTATTGAGAGTTGAGAGATAATTAGTTACCTACCTTCCTACTAGCTTTCTACTGTGTGATATTTTTGTATAGTATACAAAACATCTTAAAAGGAACATTTTCTTCAAGTACTCATGAGTTAAATGTATTACTTTTAAATCTTTTAATTTAACTGTACTGAATGTAATGCAATACTGTTGCCCTTGGGGGAAAATCTAGTTGTGATCAAATGTACCATTTAAATGTAAAATTCTAAGAGTACAGTCCTGTACTATTTATCTTGGAGATTTTTTTTTTTTTTTTTTTTGGACATAATGGGACAACTTCTGAGTGATATGCATGGGATTGTGCTACAAGCCCACAATTCTACACACATTGCCTTGAAAGAAATCCAATTGAAACATGCTTCCTTTTGTGCATACATGCATAGAATTGCACAGTAAAGCCAAAAGCTCTTCTGTAAAACACAGTTGGTTGCATGCTGACTAGGAATTCTTCCAGATGAGTCTGTTCATTATACAGCCATTCTACCATCCTTACAGGTTTATGGGCTCTAGAGAATCTAATTATTCACCTATCCTCTTTTTTTCCCCCTGTCATTTCCCCCATCTTTTCTCTGAGCCTAAAAAAAATTGCTAAAAAGAGAAAACAGTATAGTCATATAATGCTCTTGACTGATAGCATTAGCAGTCCTCCATTGGAAAAACCACTTTAGTCATACTTAGAAAAGATCCATTACGTAAATGAGACATCAATTAATTATGGTCTGCAGGTTGAATAGAACTAATTCTCTTTTTAATAGAGGTGATCTAAATGTCAAATAGCACAATGATTGGCCCTGTGAAAGTTGTAACGGTGAACAAAATTTATGAGTAGCAACTGGGATAACATTTCAGCTGTTTATACTGCATCTGCAGCTTCCTTCTATTAATAAAAATGTCTGATTTTTCTTAACAAAGTACATCAGGAGAAAGTATAATTGTTTCAGTTTGCAATACTTTGTGCTCATTCTGATTATTTCCATTTTACTGCCAAAATGTCAACACTTGAATGATATGAAATTTCTCAAGGACAGCTGTTAATATAAAGTGGCAACACATTGTACTTTGGCTGACTTCCATTAGGGAGTCAGTAGATTAGAACTGCCTTATTGTCCAAGACATTTTAACAGAAGATCTCTTTGCTCTGTATTTGATTCTTGTTGGGTTTCATTCCTTTTATGTCCTGACTCTTAGTAGTTTATTATATTATTAAATAAAGTAATAAATACTTTATTTGTTAGAAGGTTCTTCTGATGCTCTTGTTCCTATTTGATGTTTTAATATATGGTGGAAAGCTTAGAGAAAAATGCTGCAAGGAAACTAACTTCATTTAATATATACTTGAGCCATGTGTATATCAGAAAAGTAAGATAGATATTTCTCTTTTTTAATATTTGTATTGATAACTTTTTAGAAATAATGATCAGTAGAAATCCTATGCAGATATAGAGTAACTTCATTAGGTAGAGAGGGATGTGTGCCCTCATAAATGTACTACTATTTTTTAGTAGTAGTAGTAGGGAGACATAGGGATGTTGTTGTTGTTGTTGTTGTTTAAACTTCTTTATATTCTAGCTGATTGTCCTTTAGCCTAATTGATTTTTCCTGAATCCCAAACTTCAGGTAACATTTTTCTGCTTTCAAAGAAAAAAGACCTACTTATGAACCACTCTCATTACATTCTATGTAATCCAACTGAACCCCCCAACATGGGAACTTTATCACATCTACCACTCTAAACCAATTGGGTGCCTCTGCTCTAGAGGTTTTTTTTAATTCTCTTTGGATTTTAAATGAAGAAAAATAATGTATGATGATGACTTTTAACTTATACTATAGCCACTGATTCCCATGTTCAAGGAGGAGGTCCATAGGGGAGTTACAACCAGCAGAATATGGTTAATATCCTTACAAGAGTGTGAACTTTGCATAGGTTTGTGCTGCAATGGAGCATTGTAGCTAGTGCAGTGCTGGGGAAATTCCCAGTATTTTTTTTCTACTAATTTATATTCAGGTTGGTGAAAGATAATTTGATGCTGAAATTCTACCAAAGGAGAAGATAATTTTGGAGAAATGAACATGAGTCAAATGCTGTGTTCTTGTACTTAGTGAGTTATGAGATTCTGAGGGGTGTATGTCTTTTGTCTTTCATTGTACAATCATCTCTCCAGCACTCTGGTGCCTCTGTGGTTTCCCACGCTTAATTAAATCCTAAGGAAAGACCTTATAAAGGAACTCCACCCATTGGGCTTTTTCAATAAAGATGCTATTGTTACCACTGAGTAGGTTTCCTATCTCTGATATTGAGAATTTCTGTTTCCCCAGAAGTAATTCAGATATGTTATTCACCCAACTTTTGTGCTCACAAATTTAATGGAGAATTTTAAAGAGCTGTTTCTATCTAGTTCAAGTTACAACTATTTTCATTGTCACAGACTTTCCATGCCAACAGAGAAAAATCAAAAGGAATTCTATCATCCATGCATTTTTTTAACTGTTAAAGGAGGCTTGAAAATTACTTATATTGAACAAGGGAAAACAATGTAGAGGGATGAAAAGAAAAGAAATCTTTGAATTTTTAGTTTTATGTAAACGTCCTCCTCTTAAAAAATTGAGTATTTATAAAGTCAGCCAAAACACTAATATACAGTATTTTTGGTTTTTTGGTTTTTGTTTTAGTTGTGACCACTTAACTGAATGCATTTCTAAAAGCCCTAAACTGTAGTCTTAAAATTAGTTATATAACATGTTTCAGAAACTTTCATTGCCTTTCTTATGTACATCCAATTATCTGAAAGAAAGAAAAAATGAAAATGTCCTATAAACTTGAAAGAATTGACAAGTATTAGACATCTATATTCCAGATTGTCTTGCTTCTGTCATGGATAGTAAATAGGAATAAAGATCTTAATTTTTTCAGTGCGAATCAGGATTCCTAACACAGAAACCTATTAAGAGCGCAGTCTTTTTGGTATTTTTGCTGACCAGATCCAATGCAAAAGGAATTGTACAATAAATCTCCAAAATTCTCATAAATATATCTACACACATGCTAAATTAAATCTTCATTATTTCATTGTTTTGCTCCTTCCAATACCCCCCTGTCTTTTAATGTTTAGAATGATTCTGATCAGCAAGACTATAGCATAACTGTACTCAGGACACATTTAAGTTCTGAATTAATATTTTGTTAATTTTTCAGGTTTTTATTGAGTTTGAAATTGAACAACATCAGGAATGTGCTTATGACCATCTGGAGGTGTTTGATGGAGAAAATGAAAAATTTCCAATTCTAGGGCGTTTATGTGGAAATAAGATACCAGATCCTCTTATTGCCACAGGAAATAAAATGTTCCTTCGATTTGTCTCTGATGCATCAGTTCAAAGAAAAGGCTTCCAAGCAACCCATTCAACAGGTGTGAAAATAATTCCTGCTAACGTCAGTGGATACATGTTTAGCATTGTTATGGGTGAAAGTTTCATTAGGTTCCTTGTGCAGAAACAGAATACATTTTAAATATATAGTCTGAATACAGGGGAAGACATTTGAATAATCCATTTTGTTATTTCTGGGAAAACAAAATCTGATTGTTTTTCTGAAGAATATATTTTAAATCAAGCTGGAATATAGTTCTTGGTGATCATAGAGAATCAAAATACTTCTATAAAAAAGCCCCTGCCATTAAGGTTTCCTCCTGCTTCAATCAAATAATGTCTAGTGATGTCTGTTTCTTTGTTTATACTGACATCTAGTGGTTTTTCTTTTGTTCATGGTGCTTCTAAATCATGGTAGAAAAATCAGTCTGATCCCTTTCAAAACTAGACTAAAGTGCACATCTTTTTCTTTCCCCACCTTCCACAGAGTGTGGTGGTCGCCTGAGAGCTGAAAGCAAGACAAGAGATCTTTACTCTCATGCTCAGTTTGGTGATAATAATTACCCAGTTCAAACAGACTGTGAATGGTTACTGGTGTCAGACTATGGCTATCAAATAGAGTTAACTTTTCAGACTTTCGAAGTGGAAGAAGAAGCAGATTGTGGCTATGACTATTTAGAAGTCTTTGATGGTCATGATACATTTGCTCTGAGGATTGGCCGGTTTTGTGGATCAGGGGTAGGTCACTTTTAAGTTTTGCAGTTATCAAATTTTCTCTATAAAATATCAGAACAGTAAACTTAAGTGTGTAATGGAGATGTCTATGCACTAGCATCTTTCTGTTTTTTCCATTTTTCTCTAGCAGATATCCATGCCCACACAGTTGATCACCACAACCCTCTGAGTTTAAAGGAAGCTTCAATGCAGTAGAATGATTACTGTTTGGAAAAGGAAAATTAAATTCCTGCAACTTCTGCTTGGAAAAGTTCAGTTAAAGTAGCTTACTGGATCGCAGCCACTATTTTAGCTTTTTGCAGTCAACGTATTTGTTACTTAAAGCTAACAGAATCAAATAATCTTTGTTTTTGACAAGGCTGATTTTGTTATTGAGAAGTGGGTAGACAGAAGCAATAAGTAAAGGAGCAGTATAGAAGAATCAGAATTTTAGGCATTCATTCTGTTAGTGTTTAAAATTATTTCAGAGATGCTGCCTGAAAACAGAAAGCAAAACAATTGTGGTAACTACCTTTTTCATTTAATATAAAACCCATTCTTACATATATTTTTTTTTTGGTTGAAATTAGTACTAAAGAAAAACGGAAGTTTTCCTGTGGGATTGACTACAATGTTTTCAAAGCACTATTTCCATATTTCCATTTTACTAGGACCTTTAACTTGTGATAAGTTAGTTTAAATCAAAAGGAATACTCTCTCTCTCACTTCTAAAGCAAGCGATCACAGTCATTGACAAAGGGGTACACAACGTCAGGCTACAAATCACATGAGGCCTTCATACTCTTGGATGCAGGTCCTAGACCGCTTCAGATTAACTTTATTCAATAGAGTTGTTGATCAAAGTATCATAATAAAAACTAGAAAAATCAAAACATTGTAAAAAAAAAAAAGCAAGCAGATGAAGAAGGAAAAAACGAAGAAAGAAGAAATTTAGAGAAAAAGAGATTGCGTGGATTTCAAGGGAGAAATACGAATACTTTAAATATCAATATTCAGTGTTACTATCCAAAATGATATTTGTACAGATAAGGTAAACGACTGGGAAAAACATTTTAACAATATTGCTAATATAAACTAAGCAGATCAAAATCAATTTATTCATTAATATAGGGTTTTATAAAGCTCTTTTTAAGTATGTTAATTTTTCACCCATGTCTAAATACCACTAATCTAATGAAATATTTACTTTAGTTTTTACAGTAGTTTGTTATAAAAAATCTGGCAGCTAACAACAAGACTTGAATCAATTTCTTAAGCTGTTTATATTTATGTATCTTAGGTTAGTTAAGGAACAGTGAGATTAATTCATTGTGAAAGACAGTTGGGTGATTTCGTCAGAACCTTTCAACCAAAAGGACTGTCTGATGGAGTACTGCCATCAAAGATGATAATATATACCAATTTGCTTACAATCCACTAACGCAACATAGTAGAGTTATAATTTATATAGTGCAACTTTAGACAAATAAAGTAACATCTCTGGATCATCTTTCTGGCCAATTCTTGATGATTTGCTGAAATAGATTTAAAAGATCTCTATTTAATTAAGCAAATATAATCTTAGTTAAATTTAAATAAAAACAACTTTTATCCTGCTGCATGTCCTCCTTTTTGCTTCACTAGTCTTTTGGAGTGTAGCCCCTAGCGTACCATACAAAGGCCAAATGCAATCCTTACCCTCCCCCCAAATAATATAACATTTTATTTATTGGCAGCCCTAAATGAACAGAGCATTTAAACTATCAGGACTCTTGTTTTAAAAAGTCTCAGGGTACAAGAAGAAAGGAGATTCCTCTCTGTATATTGATATTATTGAATGAAAATTCGTTAAAAGAGAATGATTTTTCTCTGTGTAGACAGGCATAGAATGTCCTAAGACAAACACAACCATTTCATAGTTTCTTTTGTTATTTCTAGTTCAAGGAAGACTTAAGCAAATTTGTCTTTAACCTGAAGATGAAAAAGTGGAGGAAGAATTCTTCTGGTCTTTTTTCAGTTTTCTTTGTTCCCAAAGCAGGGGAAATGCACAGTCTAGGCAGGGTAGTTTTGTGTGGAAAAAATGACATGAAGGGAATAGTCTAAGCCAATTCTTACCCCCTTTTTTTCACATGTGCTTCACACTGCCTTGGCTTTAAATAAAAATGGAGAAAAAAGGTACAGCAAATGGCTACATGTATCATTTCAACTTTAAAATTAAATATAACACAACAGTAGTATTTTGTTCATATACTACTGGCGATAGCAGAAGAAACATAAACTCTCATAGTGTATTTTATTAATGAATACGCAGTATTTCAGATAAAACACTGTTAATTGCTACAGTCTGAATGATTGGTTGATGTTGTTCCTAAGATAGCCTTGGTAACCCTCTCTCTTTTCTTCTTCCTCCTGCAGCCCCCGGAAGAAATTTATTCAGCAGGTGATTCTATTTTACTCCATTTTCATACAGATGATACAATTAACAAAAAAGGCTTTCATATACGATACAAAAGCATAAAATATCAAGATAATGTTCACACCCCAAAATAACACAAGGCTCCTTTAGCTATCAAATGAGACAGAGAATGACTGTTTTGAAGAGGTGGGGGGGGTTCTTTAAAAAAAATACAGACAATATTAGTAAAAAGCAAAGATTTTTAGCCCATGAGTTCAAACAGAAGGAAAACTGAAACATCTCACTGTTAAATGTACTCCTCTTCTGTGGAGGAACAGACATTATGGTGACGACATATGGTCTCCATTCATGGTTGTCTTTGCAAAGCTGGTGAAAAGACATTGCATGCTTCCAAGGAGACTGTAAGAGCTTTGTTCACAGCTTGACAAATGTCATGGTTGTTTCCATCTTCAATAACAGGAAAAGATCCTGCTGACTGTAACTTTTTGACAAGTGACTTGAATCCAGGAGAGGAGAAAAGCTCACCTTCTACAGGTCATGCACTTGAAATGTTGTCTTTGTATTTTTCTTATTCTAAATGCATTGATGGCATATCCAAGATCTAAAATGTACAAAGAAAAGTCAGGAGAAGAGAAATCTGAATTTTTCCATCACTTCACATATTATTATAAAAACTGGAAAACTGTATCTGCAAAATCATTAAATCTGTGGACGGTTCTGGTTACAATAACATAATAGAATGGATTATTTTACATTCATGGTAACTATGAATACATTCAGACTTTGGATATTGTCAGTGACTGAGTATATTAAGTGTATTACTGCTGAAGTACTGTAGTATGCTGAGCTCTCACATTAGACTAAGAACCAAATCAGAACTGGTCTTTTGGCAGACCTTTTCCCAGTGAGCAACAGAAGGAATCAGGACCAGAATAAGCCAAAACATCAATCATGAATTTCATTTCAGTAGTAAAAATGAACTGTTAATCTGTATTTCCTTGGAAATGTTTGTGAATGAACTAATTATTTTATTATTATTTTAAACCAATAACAATGAAAAAAGAGTGGTTTCCAAAAACCTAGGTTTCCCAAGCATTTTTTTTTTTTCCTTTTGTGGTGGCAAAGACTATTTCTATGGTGCTATTCCATGAACTTTAAAAGAAATCCCCATATCCCAAGATACTAGATTTTTGAGCCAATAAACTGCTGATCATTATGCCTTGTTGCATATTAAGAGGGACAACTTCTAGGCATGAGAAAAGGATTATTTCAGCGGCAGCACAAACTCTGTGAAACAAACTACAATTGCCTTAGAATATTTGTACATGATCATACAGATCTTCTTGTAGATATATATCTGATTTGATAAAGTTGATGACAACTTGAACATTTTAAATGTGTGTTCACAAAAATGATCCTTAAGCAAATTGCCATGCACAGAGCAAGATCATCAGTTGTAAATACAGCACAGCAGACTTGTTACCAATGTAGAATATGTTACTTTTAGAAGTTTTATTCTATGTGCTTTAGGCCATACGTGGATTTAGTCACAATGTATATGCATCATGTAAGTTAGTACGAATGAGTAAGAGTGAGAAGTGTTGTGTATGTATGGACAGGTAAATTGTATTTCATGTGCCAAGTTCTACCACAATCTCAATTGAGTGTAGCAACTTCTTTAAATAGGACTGTAATAAAGAATCAAGAGCTAATGAAATGTTTATGTTCCATTAAAAGAACTATTTTGATATCATTTGATGTTGGTTGCTATTTCGTTTAGTTTTTGTTTCCTTACCAGGATAAATACACTGGCATTAATATTTTTTTTAAAAAACAATAATAAAACTAAACTAAGCATGTGTAGGTCTCATTGCTTCTATTTAACAGCTGTTTCATTTATCAAAAGACAACAAACTTACACAGTCTTTAGAACACTTTGTTTAGGAGATGGCTGACAAGTGTTAACTTCATCACAAACTGCTGAAATATGGGCACATTTGTATAATCCACATAACCAAAAACTAGACAAACACACTTTAATTTAGTGCATTGTTCAAACCCAGGGTGTATGATTAATTTATGATTCACTGTATCCCTTAAAATGTGTTATATTAATTGTATTACTCAGAAAATGGAGTAAACCATGGTTAAACCAACCATGTGCAAGCATGTTATGCAAACATAGCCAATGTTTTCTCTTACGAATAGCAGATTATTGAAGCTTGAAGAGGCAATAGTCAAGCTGAGCTTTACTGCATATTATAGTGAGTACAGAATAGCAGAGGATGTATGTTGGGACAAGAGCAACTTGCTACGCTCTTGTAGTAATGCAAATTACACAGCTCTGTATGTCTTTGTTATGTGGTCAAACCCATGATGTTCTTGACACACACAGGTGTGTGGTGTATGCACACACACACAGAGCACTGAAGCAGAAGCAAGTTAGGAAAGAATAACTGAACATACAAAAGAAAAATCCATGAAAACCGAATAGAAGAATTTTGTTTATATCTTTTGCTTCAACAAACTTCTTAAACATTTGGCAGAGTTCTACTGAGATCAGAATTATATTGGCTGATTTGGATATACAATTTTGATATGGGAAATCCAGGCTGTGCGTTCAAATAGATGTCTTCCAAAGTCAAACATATGTTAGCAATAATTTTATAGTTCTGAATGTAGGATATTTGTATCATGATTTGGGTCAGTTTATTTAATGAGTTTACATTAGGTTTGCCATGGCAGTGGTTTTCTTGAGAGTGTTTCCTCTACCAAGAATTCTGTATTGTAAGGTTTTGTGTTACTGCTAAAAAGCTTGAAAAAATTGTTGAGAAATGTATTAATGCATTATTACCCGAACTGAATAAAAATCCTTCAAACTACTCATTATCGAAAGCTTTCTAATTCTCTTCAGTCTATGGAAAACTGAACCATTCCTGAATATGAACTGTTTTCTACTTCCTTTCTTGATTTAATGTTAAGCAGTTTGTAAGAGATTTGTCGAATGTTTATCTTGAACATAGTTTTAGTTAACAGGACACTTACATTCAGAGAAGATTGCACTCCAGCCTGTCATAATGCAGTAGCAACCTGATCTGCACTTTCTGGAAGTACGGAAGTTTCACAGTTAAATACAGAAGTAGCACGTTGAAAGAAAAGGAGAGGGGTTTTTTTTTTTGGTCATAATTTTCAGCTGAAGAAGGAATTTTGCATTCTGGAGGACGCTTACATATTAAAAAAATACACAGAAAGACTGTTCATATTAGGAATGTTAACAACCATATCATATGTTGCTATGTAAAATAGCATTTTGATCGCTAGTAGCTTTAATAGGTGCATCTGAGTATTTGTCCCCCCCCCCTTGTTTAAAAAAAGAAAAACGGATGGCTTTGTAATATAACTGTAACTAAAGTTATTACAAAAACGTTTTGCGCTCATAAAAAGGTCTTTTACCAGGTCAGCTCTACCACACTGCTAAGATTACTATGAAATAGATCCTCATTCATGTTTAGGTTATGTTCATAATTCTTTGAATCAATTCAGCATTCTGAATGTACTATTTCTTCATTAAAAAACACAGGGTAGTGGAATTTCTGTTCCTTTTGTATATATAGCGACAACATGCATCTACAAACAGACCAAGCTTTGATCATGATGCCACACCTACTGATTTTGACCTCCACCACTCCCCCATGGACACCCATGGTTATAGGTAATCTTCTAATAAACAATGCTGGGTAAACCAAAAATAAAAATGAATTAAATGGCTGACCGAAGGCTAACAAGCAGTACAGATACTAATTAGTCCCTTGTACTTAAATCCATTAGCATTTTTATTAAGTATTATTCTAACATAGGTACTATCTCACATTACCTAGACATTAATATAACAAAAACGTTTTCATTTGTCATAGCATTCTCAGACATATGGGCTTTTTGTACTCAACTATTAATGTATATGGTTTTCAATGTACAGTTCATCAATGCAACTTTTTCACATACATTTTCCCCATGTTCTTTTTAAATGAAAAAATTCCCATTGTGTGCTATTCATTTTAACATAAATTTCCCCAATGCGTACATTGGAATTATCAGCAAGATATGTATTTTTCCCACAAATATAAATACACGTTTTCTGTATTCAGGTTTCTCAAATATACAGATTCATTTTTTGCGGATAAAGTTGATTGAATTATCTGCATCTGTGACAATTCATTTCTGTGGCATTTTTTTAACCTCTGTATTATTTTCTGTGATATAATAAATATCTCTGCAACATAACTAAAAAGGATTTTGAACAACTTATTTTCTTGCTATATTATTTTGTGTAAATTGAAGCACCTTGCAAAGAAAAGTAGGAATATGAACTTTCCTGGGAAAATAGAATGATGAAAATGATGAAACATTGCACCATTATCTTTTATTTCCTAGAATTAAGAGGAAATAGTCTTGGGACCTGGACTGTTGACGGTTTCAAACAAGGGTTTTATGTGCAATTTCCCTGTCTCAAAATAAGGAGAGGGATCCAGATGCTTTTCCCCCTCCTGTGTATACCCATTGTGGTTTTATTTACCACTTGAGACCAATGTTTAAAAACTTAACAATACCATAGTATCTCAAATATAAAACAATAATAAACATGTACAGAAAAGCCTGAAACAATGAGTAGTATGTGGGATGTACCAGGTGACTTAAAACTGGTCTTCCATCAACTCTTCCATCTTTATGTTTAAACACCCCTCCCCCCAAATCTATTAATGAACAAGAAAAATATGGAATAGCCAGAGAGTAGTTTTTGTGCTAGAATCACCTTTGTAAACACTTTTTACTTGCTTGGTTAGGTATACAATAATTTAGATTATATGCCTATTCATTAAAATATTTAAACATCTATGTCTATCTCTCCATGGCAACACATAACCTTTTCTTTTTCCTTTTTTTTTTTTTTTGCTTCTGAGAGCTGATTGAAAATAGCATCTCTGAAACAAGGTTTCCCTTCAGCACCATAACGTTTACAAATTCTTACTGTGTTACTATGCAAATTTCCTCTGTCAAGCCCTGTGTAAATGTTCCATCGCAGCAGCTGGCTGGGTTTGGTACTAACTACATCATATAGTACAGTCTAGATAAGTCACATACAATGTTTTTGTACTGAATAATAGAAACTTTGTTTTTTCTCTCTAGGCCAGCAATGACATCATCCATCCATTAAGTGACAGCCACTTAAATGTTAAAATGCAAACACATTTATGCCATTTTACTCTTTGTATAGGCAACTCTGACAGTATTTTGATAATGTTCGCACAAGTGGAGGGTTGCTCCACCCATTGGGCCCCTGGAGTTTTGCACATAATGTCTAATTAAAAGTAGCTGTGAGCAATTAAGGGTGGATCCAGGAACTGGGTGGTATGAGTAGTCTTCAAAAATGCAGTGATATACAGGGTTTTGTATGTTTCAGATAAGATTTGGAAGAAATGCTTTGGATCTTGTGCAAGTACAAGCACTTCATTTCCCTGCTATTCATTCAAGTTGCCATCTTTTTTTTAGATTTCCATGTAAGCCAGAATCAAAGGGGCAATTGCTTTAAAGGTTGCATTGACTTTAATAAATAACTTCTTAAAGCAGCCACATCCTTTTTCAAGAACACGTGGAAGCCTGCTTTAATGAATAACAAGCTGCTGCTTTAATGAATAACAGAAAGGTGCTGTGCTCATGCAAGGGCTGAAGCACTTCAAATTATTTCTGAAGGGTACTCAGCCCTACTGAATTGCCCCTTACTGGACAAAATGTTCATTATACTTTTTTCATAGCAAGCAGATGGAATAGACAATGTCACTTCTGTTTCAGATGAACTTGAACAAAACAGATTTTCTGAATCCATTTCAGTCTTGATTCAGGTGTTCAGTGCTGAAACTGCCTTGACCCTGATCAATTTCCTGAATTAGAACAGAAATGGTCTGCCTTTAGTACTACAGTATGCCCTACCCTTCAACTCTCCAACTTAATTTTAACCAATTCTTAATTGCTTATGTAGCAAATACTTCACGAACACACACACACACACACACACTGTAAATATGCATGTGTGTGTTTATGTATATGTATAGACATGTACATTGATAGATACTGCACATGGGGGGTGGCCCAACCAAAGAAACTTAATATTGAATATCCTCTGGAAGTCAATTAAAATACTACAGAATATTAGATTACAGCCAGCTCTGAACAACAAAATCTTCATTGCCAAACTAAATGGTTTATGAGGTTCTGCACAGTATTAACAGTAGGAAAAAAATAAAGCTGTTAAGAATGTCCATTCGGAATAGTTAACGTTTCCAAAGTATTGAAAAAAGTCAGATACAGTTACTCATGCCAAAATGGACAAATTATTCTTAAATATGCTGTATTCTCCTTCCTTCCCTCCCTCTCTTCCTCTATCTTTCCAGATGTATGATTCTTTTCTGAAATACTGCATCTGTGAATTGTGCTCCATTTTTTTTTCTCAACATAAAACTATGCCAAAACTTTCTGTATTGATATTTCAGACTGATGCATATCAAGTAAAAGTTGGCCTGTGCATTATCAGTGAGCTCCAACCAACAAGGGGTACCAGAGAGCTCTTCTTAAAATTCATAAGGGGGGTGAGAGAAGAGCCCCACTGTGATAAGTTGTATGAATAACATGCAGTTTAACTCTTCATCTATCGTTTATTTTATTAGTCATTCTGTTTGTAACCTCCCTTTCATAAAAATATTCTATGACATGCTTTACAATAGGCCATGTCAAATTGTTTTTCCTGCATGTGCTTTCTAATATAAGTATTTCAAACTTTTCAGGAGAGTTTGGAGCAGAAAAAAATGAAGAGGGAAGAAGATGCCTTCTGCATATCTATGCATAAAGGGAATTAGAGTAAATAAACACTTATGAAAATTGTACTCTTAGCAGACAATGAGAGAGGTTAAGGGGACACTTCTATAATTTGTTACCCTATATCTTTCTGATTTAGTCATTTCACTATATTTCTCTCTTTGCTATTTTGTAAACCAAATGATACTGCAGTGTGGCACGAGCATAGGGAGGCTAGGGAAAGAGGGTGTGGGGTGTGTGCATATGTGTGCAAGCACAAGGAGCCCGGGAAAGAGAGTGTGATGTACATATGTGTGAGTGCAGGGAGGCCGGGGAAACAGCATGGGGTGCCTGCATGTGTGTGAGTGCAGGGAGGCCAGGGAAGGAGGGCATGGTGTGTGCAAGCAAGCAAAGGGAGGAAGGAGAGCACGATGTGTGCGAGCAAAGAAAGGCCAGGGGTGGCTGGGGGACACTTACCCAAGCAACCTGACCTTCCCTGCTGACTTCCCCATTGATTTGCTTGTGGGAAGCTGGGATAGAAAGTCAGCAATGGCAATCATGTTACCGTGGGATGCTGCAACTGATTGTAAGTGCAAGCTGGTTGCCAAGTGCCTGAACTTTGTTCACGTGACTGCAGGGGCATTGCAATGGCTGGAACTCTGAGGATTGGTTGTAAGTCCCTTTGTTCAGTGCCATCGTAACTTTGAACAGTCACTGAATGAATGGTCGTGAGGTCTTGAGGACTACATGTATTATGGAAACCGTAGTCTACCTTTTCCAAAAAGCACCCAGTTGGGGAAGATTAACTTACAACATGGTATCTTGTTTATTTACTTTTTAATTGAATATTCCATTTTTCATTGTTAAAAACAGTCCCTGATGCAGAATACAGGTAGCAAAGATCTTATTATGTTGATCATAATAAGACTGCAAATCTATCCACCTTTATTCTTTTTAAAAGAAATCTGAAAACTTTTCCAAAAACATAGCATCTTACTCCTCAGATATAATGTATTATTT